TTTCATCACTTCCCAAAATTCCCAGGCTTGGACATTTGCAAACATCCTGAGGGAAGGAGTTCTAAAGCTAGAAACAGCTGCCGAAAACACATGTATTTCTGCCCTTTATGGTTCTTATTTGATGTACTTGTTGTGTTTCTACCGTAGCATTTTCCCTGTTAAGAAATAGGGTAGCTTAGAGAGTTAAAATTTGCAGTAGCACAAATCTAACATAAAAACTAATATAATGAAGTAGCCAATTAAAACGTTTTTCTCACAGTTGTTCCAAACTAGCTGCCGCCTCCAGCTGAAGGCAGCCTTGTGTAGAATGAATCCCAGAATTATCCCCTGGACTCAGTTCCACTTACTTGCATCTTGTTGCCAGCACCAGCTTTGTGTGTGCATCAAAAACAAAGAAGAACAAGAAGCAACAGAACAGAGTGTTGCAATTAAGCTGGTAACATCTTAGGCTGGAATCTCTACAACAGAGAGCCTACTGGTTTGGCATAAGTGAAAAGGGAATCAAATAAATATCCCTTGGACATGATGAGGGACAATTCTTCAGTTGTTGTTTGATATCCAGGTTGATATATTGAACTGTAGAAATATCTTCCATGGTAGAAAATACTAAATTCTTACTTAGGACTGGCTCAGCTAGGGAAAAATGTTTATGTATATGCCTTCGTATTATCTGTCCATTTATTGCAACCCCTGAATTTTGTGGGGTTATCTTATCTGAAACAGGCTCTACTCTACCTAACATTCATGGCAAACTCCCATCCAAATACTAACCAGAATTGGCCCTTCTCAATTTCTATGATCAGACAGGATCTGGTCCCTTTTAGGGTATTTTGCAGAGATAGTAATCAGTGGTCAGAATGAATTAGGGTACTCTTATTGGATTCTCGTGCTTTCACCAGATTCCAAATGTCCTCTATTAATAGTTTGTTTGTTTTTTTGCACAGGGTTGCCAGCCCTCAAAGTTTGGCCTAGAATGATCAAACTTTTATTTTGGAGTTGAGGTCTATCTACAAGAGAGTTGCTAACTACTCGGTTCTGGAGCCCAAGAACTGACCTCTATCTCCCAAGAACATTTTGAGGCCAATTTTGTAGATGTGAGGAATGCCACACTATATTCTCACATTCTGAAGAAAAGTAAGTAATAAGGTGTATGACATATGTATATTATATATACATATATATATATACATATATACATATATTAATATTTTCTAAAGAGAGGAAGAAACCATGGAAACCCATCCTGCTATGAATTATGACGTTGATGCAAAAACAACCAGAAGTTACAGAGACAAATTGACTATTTAGAAACAGTTCCACATAGATCTCTGTACCTGGACATGTTATAGCTACATGCTAAATCAAGAGGCTTCTTCTCTGCAGTATACTAGTCAGTCATACGATTTTTCTTTTTTAAATTTTTACAAAAAAACAACAACATTAAAATCATGACTGGCTGTTGAAGACCTTCAAACAATGATCCAGTAAAAAGAGGGAGATGATGTACTTCTGTTATTTTTATGGTTAGTAGTTTAAGAAAGATGCATCCAGAAATTGTCTTCACAAATTCAACACTGTTATAGTACAATCCATTTGATTCCAGCATGGGTTTAAAATTAATTATTATTGGGGGGAAATAGTGATAAGCCATCCTGAAAGCATTAAATACAAGGTATTACAAAAACAATAGAAAAATAATGACCCCCTATTTTAACGTCTTTTAAATCAAAACATGAAAAAGCTTGGGGTATAGGTGGTTATTTCAGCAGTCCTCCCTTATCATGTTCATGGCCTAGGATGACAAAAAAGAATACTGGAGGACAATAACAGGTGGTATAGATAGTGTTTTGGGGAAATATTTGGCTTTTTGGCCATATTCTATAGTTCCATGATGTCAGCCTTCTACCAAGAATAATCATTCATCCATCCATCCATCCATCCATCCATCCATCCATCCATCCATCCATTCAATATCCTGTGTATCTTCCAACATGGAATCCAAGGTGATGCACAACCATTTTAAAATCACAAAACAATTTTAAAATCCTTAATACAAAGAGGTTATATTCAACAGGGCTGTGAAGAACATGTTGTCTAGGAGATTAATGAAAGAACGAAAATATGATTTAATAGGCAGTGAAGGTGCCCATGATTTGAAGCGTGGAAGGCTGGTTGGGAACATTTGGATAGAAATCAAATTTAAATTTAATTCAAGTTACACTACTATTAATCACAGTTTTTAAATCACAATTCAGCTTTCAAAAACCAATGAGATAATCTAATCAGGATAGTATAATTGATAATGAGCTACTGGTCTTGCATTCAAATCTGACAGTAGAATGTCCACACAAGTGGTTGGAAGCTATTGTGCACTATAGTGAGCTGAACAAACAGAAGCTAAAATAGAGGTGTTCATCTCTGTTATGCAGTGGAGGGAGCTATAAATAGGAGCAATTTCCTGCTTAGAAGGTGTTTCATACTCCTTGGTTGTCCAGATGTGTAGTTGCATTATAGTAGTGCTCTTACACAATTTCATTGTTTGTCAATGTTGTTAAATAGTATCATCCATGGCATATATGTGCGTGTGTCTTGGAAACATTCAACATTAATTAAGATCCTCCTTTTGTTTTGTAAAAGCTACACTTCACTTCATAACACATATAAAATGGTGCTACATAGTTTTTATGTGGGATCGGGACTTACAAGAATGGATTATAGAAACTTGGATGAAATTTCTGTTCGCTGGTTAGATTCTGGATACAAAACTAGAACTGAATTCTTCTGGCTACTTTTCAGATGGTGGGAGGACTCCTTTTTAAAAAAGATCAAAAATGTCTCATTAAGTATTAGGATAAATAGATGTTTTTATTTTGTGCTGTCTCATTAGAATTTTGTTGTTCATTTATTTTTATTGATGCTGTTTGTTAAAATGTGTTGCTTAATGCTGCTTTATTTTTCATTATGGGAGTGAAAAGGGAGATTGTATGCCATGTCTCTCATATTCTGAAAGCTGGTAAAACAACTGTTGGCAACTCCTCAGTTTAGGTCTTTACTTCTAAATAACATGGAAAAGGCAGAGAATAGGTTTGACACTAATTGTCTGTTGCCATAATTGTACGGCAGAGGTAATTTACATTCTTGGAACTGTAAACAAAAGTACAGTTAAATCATCTATCAGTGTAAATTGTTAATAACATTGGATGCTTCTCTAATGAGAAAGCATTTGGCTACCAAACGTGAGATAGAGAAGAGTTAACTATACATAATCACCAGATTTGTTCTCTGACATTAATAACTTGTAGCATTTTGGGTTCTCTCTCTCTCTTAGCTGGAATCACTAAGATTGAGATATTTTCCCTCCAGTATATTATATGATTTCAGAAAATTATGACTGAATCATAATTGTGATTCATTGTTCATTCAAAAACATCAGCTTCTTAAATTTATAAGCATTCACTTAAATCCAAAGAATCTTCTGTGCAAGTAAAAAACACTTCTGTCTGGGTGGGATCCTGGTATTCCATGTATGGACCTTGTGGTCCTTGAATAGTGAGTGTTATGAGGCCTCAAAGGTAGTTTTCAACAGATCTGGGTGTTTCTAGCTCTTTTACAATGAAATCTCGATAGTGCAACCTTTTTGATTCACTACCTTGTCAATACCTAGAAACTACTTGCTAACCCAATGCACATTGTTTTGAGCATTTTTGAAAAACGTAGGAAATAAGTAAAAAAATTTTTACTGTATTATTCCATGCACTTGAATTAAATGTACTTGGGGTATATGGAATTTTCTTCCAAGTGATTTGCTTATGATTTGTACTTTGTCTGAAATTTCACTTTCATTGGTTTATGAAACCCGCTCTTAAACTATTGCAAATACACATGTCCTCTAGGCAATTCTTATCTGAACTATATGGACCATTTCCCCAAATGGGAGAAGGATTAAATTTTAAAAATAATACTTCAAATTCGAGATACAGGTTGAGTATCCCAAAATCCAAAATGGTCCAGAATGCAAAATTGTCCTCATGAATAGCTGAGATAGCAACACCTTTTCTGATGGTTGAGTATACACATGCCTAATTTCATGCACAAAATTACTACAAATATTGTGTATGATGTTACCTTTAGGCTATGTGTAGAATGTGTTTATGGAAAATTAAATGAATGTTGGATTTAGACATGGCTCCCAAGATATCTCATTGTGCATATGCAAATATCCCAAAATCAGAAGTGCAAAATGCATCTGGTCCCAAGCATTTCGGATAAGGAATATTTAATCTGTAATAAGTAATTAACCTTCTCTAGGCAGGTGGGACATTTTAATCATTCAGAATCATGTGTTGTTGCTGAATTCACACAGTTAGATCTATAAAGTAGACATTTTACATCATTGAAGAATGGAAATAGTGTTCTTGAGTTTCCTCCAATTGCCAGTACAATTGGTGGTACACCCACCAGACAAAAAATGTACCAGAGTTATTGTCTATACACTTGTTACCTTTTTTTTGTTTAAAAGAAAAGAGTGGTGGCGGTGGTAATGAGGAATCAATGCTTGACCTCAGATTTAAATAATTTTCCTTGTTGTGGGCGTTGGATATAATAGAATGGCCCTGATTATGTATCCATAACCATTTCTGTGGACATAGAAGTACCCTATAATTGGGGTCATAAAATACTCCAGATTAGGACACTCAGTAGATATTTTTGTTTGTTTGTTTTTATCTGCCTGGATGAGGGTACATTATTTAGTACCATCTTCATATTGAAGGCCATTATGTTTATCTGTATGGTGAGAGATAACGCCAGAGTCACAACAGAAATTGTATTGTTTAATGTTTCTGAATACTGGCCAAATAATCTGTTTCAGAACTTGTCTGGAATGGCTTTAGCAACGCAAAATATTTGATCTGAATATGTTGTAAAAATACATCACAATCAAAGTGCATTATAAATAATGAATTGTCAATATATTTTTTCTATATCTTTGTGTCTTATAGGCGTCCTCAAAAAGTTTGTCTGTGTCCGTTCTTGCCAGTTCATCCCTTGAAAGTCTCCACCTGTCTATATATCATCCAACATCCAGCAGAGGTAAGTCAGACCATGGAAAATGCCAAACTTGAATAAGGAAACAGGAATACACATGTCCTCTAGGCGATTCTTATCTGAACTATATGGACCATTTCCCCAAATGGGAGAAAATTATTTCTGCTGGACTTTTGTTATGTAATTTTAATGGCAGGAGCAGTCAGAAGGTCAGTGAGGGCCACTAAACTGCTTTAAAAAATCCACATGCAGCCCTTACTCCATGTATGGCCCACCCTGGTTTAGTTCATCTGTTGTAACTCTAAATAATGCTGCACCTTTGCATTACACCTGTCCTAACTCCAAGCGTTTTTGAATAGCTCTTCCTTTTTATGAGTAAAACAAGCAGATTTATCTATTTACTTATTGAAACATTTTTAGCCCTGTCTTGATCTGTAAAGGCTCCTAGAGTAAGAACCCTATTTTACTGAATGCACTTGGAGGAGATCCATTCTATTTTCCATTATTTCTGTTTTTTCCATCACGCTCTATATATGAAAAGTGACTTCATAAAAAAGAGTGTCCATGGAGACTCTCCATGTGATTGAAATAACCGTTTAAGCTTTCTGAATCACATGCGTTTTCAAAAAGCAGTCCTTTATTAAGATGGAAACTGAGGCAGAGAGCATGAAGCTAGTATGTTTCCACTTCTCATGTCTTTTATAAACAAAATTACAAAACATCTGAATAGGGTAAAAGTAATACTATAAAATAAAATAGAAAAAATATATGGCCAATATGTAAACTCAAGGGAATGGGATTAATTGCGTAATTTTCCCCCTTATGTTTGTATTTAGTTTTAGCCTTATTGTCTGGATTTTATTGGCAACTAAGTTATTGATTAGATTTTACTTGGATTGTCAACTCAATTGCTGGTGCTTTATTAAGCCCCGAGAAGACGATTTTGACCTATACATAACCTATAACCACATTTGAATGCACATAAAAACTGTTGTACTAAATACTATTTCCAAATGCATATATAAATGAATATCTAAACTGAATGTTAATCAGTTTTAGTACACACTGTCTTTGAGGATATTTTTTATCCTAAGCTAAGATTTATGTAAAAATCAATTAAGAAAATTTAAGTCTGTAGTGTATCTTTTGACTGTTATGTTCACATGTATTGATCTCATACCATTAATTAACTTCATTTACTGCTTATAGAATTCTCTATTGAACAATGAATATTGAACACTGAGAATTTTTAACGTTACATATTACCCATTTCAGAGGAAAATAAAGGATCAATTAAACAAATATCCAAAAGTAATTTATAAAGTTGTCAGGGTATAATATTTGAAATTTCATATAAGAAACATTCCTCTCGATTAATCAAAACTGAATAATTTATTTGTTCACATCTTTAGGGGTCACATGCTAAATGTAATTACTCAGAGAATTGGATCTTTAGTTTATAGAAAGAGCAGAAAGTCTGGAGGGCAGGGCACCTCCTCACCTCGAAATAGCTACAAGAAGTTTTTTCTGTACTCCAGTGAAAGAATGCCTAGCTTCTATGATACTTGTAGAAGCAAAATTCTTAGTGAGAAAAAGTAATGCCTTTGGATTTTGAACTTGTTTTCTTTAAGGGCGATCACTATAAATGCCTCTTAGGGCACAAAACCAGGAAAGGTTACCCATAAAACAATTCTGTTTTTGGTCAGTAGAATGTAAAGGGCATAATTGCAATAATCTGTGCGGGATCCGTTCCTGGCCTTCGCATGGATACACAAAACTGAGGATAATTGTGAATCCTATTGAAATGAAGGACTGCCAGCACAAGAATACAATTAATTCCGGTTGGTGAAACTGGAAAATGCCTAAAGAGGACAGATTTTGTCAGTCATGCAAAGTGCATACTTTTCCCATGGATATGGAGCAAAACCAACTATAATATTCAGTGAAGCATAAAGATACCTAATCTTCTTTAAAGTGTATTGATATCTTTTAAAAAGGAACTACAATTAGTGGGCTGATAGTAATTCTTTTAGTTCAACACTGTCTTTATATTTCATCTCAAGCAAACTCAACTGATCCAGCCATTCTTTAGAAGTGCCACCTTCAGTAAATTGCTTAAACCAGTGTCCTGAATATCTTCATATTTTCTGAATTATTTGGCAACACTTTAATTGGAATTATCGTCTTTTTCTAGTCTTATCAATACAACCATTTCTCTTATAAGTATATCTTATTTGTGATAACCGCAACTGGATAACTGAATACAAAAATGATCATAGTCTCATCAAACACTTGGGCAGAACATAGTTTTCATATTTTACCATGTGCCTCTAATCATCTAATGCAGGCATAGGAAAATGTTGGCTCTCCAGGTGTTTTGGACTTCAACTCCCACAATTCCTAACAGCCAGTTACCCTGGACTATGCTCTGACCTACAAGAAGCACTACTTGAATATCAAGCAAAAAGTGAGTGCTAGAAACCATATCATACGAAAGCTGATTGGTACAACCTAGGGATCACAACCAGATACAGTAAAACATCTACTACTCTGCTGCTGAATACGCATCTCACCATGCTAAAACAGTGAATATGGGTCTTAATGAGACATGCTGCATTATCACAGGATGTCTATGCCCTACATCACTGGAGAAATTATACTGTTTAGCCAGTATTGCACCACCTGACATCAGCCAGGAAGTAGCAGCCAATAATGAAAGGACCAAGGCAGTGACATCTTCGGCCCACCCTCTGTTCAGATGCCAGCCAACATGCCAACACCTTAAATCAAGGAATAGTTTTCTAAGATCTACAGAGATACTCACAGGAATACCTCAGAAAGCAAGAGTCCAAAAGTGGCAGGCAAAAACCTGGAACCTCAAGCCATGGCTGATACCGGATGAGAGCCTCCCTTCTGGCGCTCAGAAGACTGGGTGACTTGGAAGGTGCTGAACAGACTGCGCTCTGGCATCACGAGATGCAGAGCCAACCTTAAGAAATGGGGCTTCAAAGTGGAGTTCACAACATGCGGTGTACAGAAGAGCAAACCATAGACCACCTATTACAATGCAGTGTGAGCCTTGCCACATGCACAATGGAGGACCTTCTTACAGCAACACTAGAGGCACTAGTGGCACTAGAGGCAAAGTGCCACTAGAGGCACTTTGACCAGCCAGCTACTGGTCAAAGGACATTTAATATAATTTAATATAAAAATTTTGTGTTTTTAAATACATTACAACTGTACCCTTGGTTTGCTTCTGATATGATAGATAGATAAATAAATAAATAAATAAAATACATTTTGCCACCTAATGGGCCAAACACGAATCCATGCTCTAAATCTGGATTGATTATTATGTTTATAAAACCGTGTGGCAATTAAGTGTCCAAATGTATTACACAAGTGTAAAAAGAACATAGTTACAACCTTCCTCCTCTGCAAGTGTTGCTATTTTTGATGCCTGTCTACTTATCTCTGTTCTAGAATAAAAATCCCTTTCTTCCTGCAAGTAGCAGGCTGCTTTGAAATCGCTTGGGTAACATTTCCAAGAATGTTAAAGGAAAATTTGGTCCTCTTTATTATCTATAGAATGGTGTGTATCAAAGAGCTTTTCCTTAGTTCATATATAAATAAACATATGTTTGAAATGAAGTTCCTTAGATGCCCAAGCCAATTGTGGACTATCTCAAATTGAGACTCTTTCAAAAGTATTTTAGGATTTGCTTTCTTTTCAGTTAGAATATTTTGCAGGTTCATTTACATTATTGCACCAACTGTGATAGACAGGTGCATCAAACTGCAAGTGACTATATAAAACACCTTTATCCTCCACTTGTACACATTTAGGCTGCTGTTATAAAACACGCTTACTAGGAAATAAGTTCCATTGATGTTTACAGGTCTTGTCAGGAAAAAAAAAGTATGGGAATATATTGGTCATCCCCACTTCTTCAGTCTAGCTAGCAACTCCCAATTATTCTGTCATTTAATGATAAAAAAGGAGAAATGAAAATGCCAGGCAGAGTAGCAAGGACATTTTTCTTTGGAATGGTGGCCTTTCATTGACATGGATTAACACTAGTGTTGGAAAACAGAAGTTCTAGTAACCGACTCCATTCTGTATCACATGGGTATCCTGGATGAAGTTCTGGTCAAACATTTGGAACCTAAACAAGCCATTCCTGGCATCTGAAACCCAAAGACAACTGTAATGTTCTGTTTTGGAATACTTTGCTACTCGTGCAATAAGATGAGAACTCTTGAGATGACAGAGGCAGACGAACCCAGCAAGAGTGCAGGAGACTGGAAGAGAGAAAGGAACACGGGGGAATTTGTTATACTATTTTCTTCCTGGAAATACTGGGAGGAAAATTATTTATGCTAGTTCCAATAATGGCATAAATTTATCTCGGAGTTGGAGACACGCTTAGAGATGGAGAGGACTTTGGATTCTGGGAGCGAAAGCCATATCCTGCCCACCAATCTGCTTCATTTTTCTTTCCACTAACATCTGCTATGCCTTGCCAACTGATCAAGGCCGATAATAACAAATGAATGTGAATTCTGTTTCTCTTCTTGCTTTGTGAACCATCTAGATAAGCACCATCCAAAACTCTTGGTTACTTACCAATGATATACTATAGTGACTGCTTGGGAAAAATTAAATTGCTTCTATAGAACAGTTCAATGGTACAGATTATAAAACTGCAGCATTCTCCCCTCCCCCTTTTCATGAAGCTCTGTTAATTTCTGCAGATTTAAGACACAGTCCTTTTTCATCACAGTTCATTTTTCTGTTGGAATAGCAGTCTTAAGAACTTTTAAGGCTTAAAGAATGCTCATAAAATACTGTTCCCACGGAAAGCCCTCTTAGATTTTAACCTCTTACTCAGCACAAGCTCACTGAATGCTTTCTTATTATGCTATTCTCTTGAGCAATGAAACACAGGAATGAAAACCTAGTCCATAAACATCAATCATAAAGTCCCTCCCTGCAGTTCCTTTCACACATGGAAGGCAGCATATTACTGGGCACATCTTTTGCATAACTTGGTCCTGGAAATCTCAATTGAAAAGGTTTTTTGAATTTTTTTTAAAGTGTCCCTTTCATGCAGAATCACAGGTCAGCTGGAAAAGAACTACCCTCCAAAACTGATTATTACTATAAACCAGTAAAAATTATCAACTGTACATGTACCTGGACAGTGTCTAGTTCCATAAAATGATCTTGGCTGTTCCTTGTACTTCAATAATGGCATCAGGAAGCACTTACAGTTGCCTAAAGTGTATCTGATTATGTTTGTGGATTTTTCAAATTCATTCAATAACCTGTTGAAACGTATATTTAGTTCACTACACAATGTGTCTGTAGCTTGTTTCCTGTGTTTATTTCAATTTGCTGTTAGATCTGATGAGTTTTACCCATGCTTTCTTTGTTCCGTTGTAGCATACATTATCATTTTAAAATAAGAAATTCGCATTTTCAAGGGTTTTTCTTAGATTTTTCTTGTTGCTTGATAAAATTGAAAGAACGGAGTTTTAGCCACCATCATTGCATGAAAAATATTTTAGGCCACCCTTGTTTGCAATTCTGATAGAAGATAGATTCCAGTAGTTTTATAGTGAATTGGGCAATCTTTCCCATTCCCTTGAAATGAGCTGATGCTTGCTTTCAGTGCATTGCATCCAAATAAATGTGTATACATAGTGGTGGTTTCTGCATGATGAGCCATTTATATGCAGTATCTCAACATGTAGATCAAGGAATTTTTTTCCACCTCACTGCACATTTCTAAAACAAAGTGTCAAGTGGGGCAGAGGAAACTGGTATCTGCATTGTGAGGAACTGTGCACAAATAGCTTATGATGGAAACATCAGCTGCACTGAGTCATTTTTAAATACTTTTGCATGGCAGCCACACCACATGCCTCAGTTCATTGTAACTGAAGCTTGCATATTTATTTATTTATTTATTTATTTATTTATTTACTATACTTCAACTCCGCTCTTCTCACCCCGAAGGGGACTCAGAGTGGCCTACAAATTTTGGCAAAATTCAGTGCCACATACAGATAAACAAATACAACAAACAGCAATAAAACAGTTGAAACATATAAATACAATAAAACAGATTAAAAACACAGTGTCTATTTCCGTAATCATTATTCGTGATACTACATTCTTCAAGTCAGATCCCATATTCACTAATTCTCAAATGCCTGTGTCCAAAGCCAGGTCTTTAACTTTTTCCTGAAGACCAGGAGGGGAAGGGGTTAGTCTGATATCACTGGTTCCATAGCTGAGGGGCTACCACTGAGAAGGCCCTGTCTCATGCCTCCACCAGTCGCACTTGCGAAGGGGGTGGGATCAAGGGCAAGGCCTCCCCAGCATATCTTAACACTCTGGCTCATAGAGGGAGATACATTCGGACACATAAGTCGAGCCAAATCTGTTTAGAGCTTTATAGACTAAAGCCAGCACTTTCAATTGAGCCCGGTAGCAAACTGGCAGCCAGTAGAGCAGATGTAACGGGCTGTGTGCTCCCTGTACGTCACTCCGGTGAGCAACCTGTCTGTCCCCCATTGGACCACTCAGAACATCCGGACAGTCTTCAAAGGCAGACAGAGAGTCTTTAAAAGCATGTTGTCCATAAGTTCGTTTTCGTGGTTCTGATACATGTATCAATGTTATGTGGATTGAAATTTCACTTCTGGCTTAAATGTGAGAAACTATAGTAGTTTTTTTTTTTTACACTATTATGAAATATACAGTTGTTCTCTATTCATGAAGCAGCTCTAGCCTGAATTCTTGCATTGACCAGGGGTTGACCTTGATGACCTATGAAGCCCCTTCCAACACCTATGAGTCTATGGGTTTCAAATTGTTTTTCATTTTGCTTACATTAATTCAATATTAAAATTTGAAGACAGGTTGTCTATAGCAATGAAAGTAGCCCTTGTTCTGATAGCTTTTGCTTGTTTTCTTACTTGGTACATTTTCAAGTGTCTCTGCCTAATAAAATATTGAACAGAATTGTTAGGCAACAGACATGCCATTATTTTTGTCAAGGAGAATAGGTCAATATTTATTTTCTCCTTTTATAACTGAGTCCTAGTTCTGTTTTCAACATTACCATAGTTGGAATGCGTTTCACTGCTAAGTTTATATATAGCAGAAGTAGGAAATGTGCAGCTGATGGACCTTCAGTGCTCTGCAATCTCCAGAGATTCCTTCCCTCAAAATCTTGTGTTAATTGGCTTTTTGATTGTTATTGTTTTGTTTTGACTACTGTGGTTTTCTGCCAAATCTCATTAGCAAAATCAGTGACTGACGTCTTTAAACTAAAATTGCCTGCCTGCAACCACTGCCCTTGTCCTCCACCACCCTACCATTCCTCTCCTTCACAGTTGTCATCACCATACTGACACTGTCGTTCTCCATCCTTCCTTTCCTTCACTTTAGAAGGTGAAGATAGGGAGGTGAAAGAAAAACAATTCTCACTGCTTCTAGTACTGGGCTGTGTACAGAGCTGGCTCCTTCCTGCCTATAGTGCTGATTAAGAATATCACCTATGCTGCGGGCTTGAAGACACACAGGCAAAGAGCAGCCTTCTCTATAGAAAGCTTTTTTGTGATGGGAGGAAGGGGGGAGAGGGAGTTACTCTTATTCTCTTTCTTCATCACATGAGAAAGAAGAAAGCTGCAACCACACAGTAGAGAAGGAGTATAGTTGAAGCCATAGAATGAAGAATGGTGGTACTGGATAAGGATAGAGGCAGCATAGATGCTTTGCCACTGATGGATTTGACAGGTCATGAAAATAGCTCATTGACCCCAGAATGTGCCCACCTCCTGCTTTAGAAGGAGTTACTCAAGATTTTAGGATCTTTACTAATTCAGTGGAATATAGTGGCTAAATTAGATGGAACTCTATTACAATCTGGGTGACAACATAGAATGTTATTATTAATTTCACCGTATAAGTCCCTTGGCTACTGTATTTGGATTATATTGTTTATTAGTATTTGTACTTTTAAACTTTGGTGTGCTTTCTTTTTATAGTAAATATATGAAACTGAATAATAGATTACTATGACGTAAAAAGTTCTTGTTTTTATTTTCCATATGAACTGAAGGAAAGTAGAGTACTACGGACAGTTCCTCTTCTTGCTGCTTGCCTACCCGAGGACAAATGTAAAGTCTTGATTGGACGACGCTTTAGTGAAGACCGGTAAGGAAAGCTTATAATGGAACCTGTCTGTGTTTTGAGCCCTAAGGGTAATCTACTGTAAAATGCTTCATGGTATTAGTCCAGTACTTAATGAATGTATTAATAATAAAAATGAAATTGAAAAATGTCTCCAAATGCATAAATAAAAATAGTGTTTAAGTCAATCCCAAATGACAGATATCATTATTTCTTTCTTCAGTTCTGAAATCTATTTTTCTTCTCTCTGTTGAGGGTTGCAATATTACCTCCCTGGACAGGTTTTTTATATAGAATCTAAATTTATTTCTAACTGCACAAATTATACGAGGATTTTGTGTCCTTTGAATCCTGTGCTAAGAGAAAGGTAGGAAATCAAATGAAACTAATTAAACCTTCTATTCACAATCTTTATTTGCAAGTTCACTCATAAGTAGGAAGCAAAACGTGTGTCCTGCACTGAGTTGTCATCATCATCATCATCATCATCATTTAATAATTATTAATCGCCCTCCATCCGAGAATGCTCCAGGCGATTTACAGCTAAATTACAAAAGATAAAATACATACATACAAAAATTAAAAATCAACAGAGATCGAATGCTCTAGTAAAAAGCCAGGTCTTAAGTGCGAGAGTAAAAGGCCCTAAGTCACGCATGGCTCTCATGTAGGGCGGCAAGGAATTCCACAAGGCAGGGGCAGAAATAGAAAAAGCCCTGCGTCTGGTCCTTTCCAAGTGCACTTCTCTAGGACCCGGTATATGGAGTAAGTCACGTTGGGCTGGTCGTTGCGACCTCCGATGATGGGAGAAGGAGAGGCGGTCCCTAAGGTACGATGGACCCTGGCCGTAAAGAGTTTTAAAGGTCAGAACTAGCATCTTATACAGGCCACGGTACTCAGTTGGAAGCCAATGTAAATGTTGCAGCACTGGTGTTATATGGCATTTCATGGGCGTTCTTGTGAGTAACCTGGCTGCCGCATTCTGAACAATACGAAGCTTTCGGGTCGTAGACATCGGAAGGCCAACATACAGGGCGTTGCAATAGTCCAGCCTAGACGTGACCGTGGCATGGATGACAGTTGCCAGAGCCTCGTCAGATAGGTAGGGTGCCAGTTGCCTCGCTTGTCGTAGATGGAAAAAGGCCTGTTTGCTGGCAGCAGCGACCTGAGCTTCCATTGTCAGCTGTGAATCCAGGATGACACCTAAGCTCTTAACAGTGGTCGATGGAGATAGGGCGGCACCATTGAAGGTGGGTAATGGAGGAGTCAGACCTGTCGGGCGGCCATGTCAGAGAATCTCAGTCTTTGCCGGGTTCACCTTCAGTCTGCTAGCACGTAGCCAATTTGACAGAGCTTCCAGACATAGGGTGAAATTGTCTGGAATTGATGTTGCTCCAGGCTCCAGGTGCAGAAGGAGTTGGGTATCGTCTGCATATTGGTAGCAGTCCAGGCCGAAACTCCGAGCCAAACTAGCAAGGGGTCTAACGTAGATGTTGAAGAGAAGAGGAGAGAGAATTGCACCTTGGGGGACCCCACATAGGAGGGGGGATCTATCGGAGACTTGATCCATGTACTCCACACGTTCCGGAGAAATGAGTTGAACCAATTGAGGGCCTGACCACGAACTCCGAACATGGCAAGACGGTGAATCATTAGATCGTAGTCGACGGTGTCAAACGCTGCGGTAAGGTCGAGAAGTACCAGTAGCGCGGATCCACCGTTGTCAGACTGGCGACGGAGTTCATCCGTAATGGCAACCAGGACTGTCTCCGTCCCATGACCTGGGCGAAAACCTGACTGGAAAGGGCCCAGGCCGGCTGTGTCATCCAGGAATTGTTGCAATTGTCCCAGTACAGCCCGCTCTATCACCTTGCCTAAGAATGGCAGATTAGAAACAGGACGGTAATTGGCAAGTCTGCCTATGTTTATTGAAGCATGGACCATAGATCACATATGCCCCTACACCCAAAATGTTTTGTATGACTTTTCAGAATTACTTTTTTGCTACCTTTTTGCCAGCTTTTTTCCTCATAATGTTCCCATGTCTTTAACAAGAAATGCAGATCTTCAACAATTATAGCTTTCCCAATAACGAGCATTTTGCAAAGTTTGTTATCCTGTTTTAGATATGATTAAGGTACTTGTCCCAGTGAGGTAATATGTCCCAAACTGTGGGTATTCTGCATGTACTCCTTTACTCTTTACACCATGCTACGTTTTTATCAAGGCAATTAACTGGGCTACTGTATATGCATCTACTTAGAAATAATTACCATTGAATTCAATGTAGCTTACTCCTGGGTATGTGGGTGTATCATGAATCGCAACTTGGCAATGTGCGCCTTTGAAAGAGGCTTCGCAATATATACAAGTGATCTGAAATGCTGTTGTAGAGAAAAAATATCACTACATGTACATATCAGAGTTAAGACTGTGCAGCTTTGGAATGTGAATATCAAAGTATCACTCATCAGTTATCAGTTTATAAGTCCTGAAAATGTACATCAAAATGTCAGTGATCCACTAGTTCATGCAAGCAGGCTTGCTTCTTGTAAAATGGTGACTTCATATCCAACAAAACACCCAATGTCTATATAACAACACATAGAGTTTAGGAAACAAGCTGCATGCATTTGAAGCCCTAGTTCAGACAACAAATATGACTTTATAGGCATAACAAACACCTGGTGGAATTATTTCCATGACTGGAATATTATAATTGAAGGATATAAACTATTCAAAAAGAATAAATGTGGCAGAAAAGGAGAAGAGGTAGCATTATATGTCAAAGACAAATGACAGACATTCACTACAAGCTGCCAAACCATGAAGATGCTTTTCAAAACCAGTCCCAGAAATCTCAAAGATGCAAAAGTGAGTTCCCAGAGCAATTCAGTTACACTGATATCTGCTGGGATGTTAACTTTGCTAAGCATTAGGCTGTCCAGCAAATATTTGATGTGTCTTGCAGATAATTTCTTATTGCAAAATGTAGAGGAAGGAACAAGGATATAAGCAATCTTGGACTTGATCCTAACCAATAACCAGGAGGTGGTTGGGATCATGTCACTGGAATCAAAGTAATTGGTATTTTAGGGGGAAGTGACTGTGTAATGCAAGAATTCACATTTGAGGGACAGGATTAAGAAGAGTGTAGCTAACACTGACCTTGGATTTAAGGAAACTTAATTTTAAGAAATTCAGCAAAAAGCTAGGTAGAATCACATATCTAGACATGTTCAAGGCACCCTGAAAGAAGGAGTTATAAAAAGCACAATCACAAACAATAACATGAAAGAATTAAAATGAGAAACATAGCAAACTCTAGGAGAAAGTGAAAGTAAAAAGAAATAGTATGTTGAAAGAATAGAAGGAAGGACAAATAACCAGGGAAGAGTATAGATGTGTAGCCTAAACTTGCAAGCCTAGTATAAAGAAAGCTAATGAGTGAGAGTGACTAGATAATAACAACAACAACAACTTTGTATTGTCGAAGGCTTTCATGGCTGGAATCACTAGGTTCTTGTGGGTTTTTTCAGGCTATAGAGCCATGTTCTAGAGGCATTTCTCCTGACGTTTCGCCTGCATCTATGGCAAGCATCCTCAGAGGTAGTGAGGTAGTTCCTCACTACCTCTGAGGATGCTTGCCATAGATGCAGGCAAAACGTCAGGAGAAATGCCTCTAGAACATGGCTCTATAGCCCGAAAAAACTCACAAGAACCTAACAACAACTTTATTTTTATACCCCGTCTCCATCTCCCCGAAGGGACTCGAGGCAGCTTACATGGGGCCAAGCCGAATCAACAGAGTTGAAAACATAGCACATTAGAATGCATAACATCAATTTTAAACAACATAAAACAAGATTATAACAAAATATAAAACAAGCATCAAAACCAACCGCAATATCATAATTCAAGTCTTGATATGGGTGGGTGGACTGGTGCACAGCAATTCAGTGGATAGGGCTAATAAATAAAGTACAAAGATCATATATCGACATTAAGGGTAAGAGCAATATAAGAAGGAAATAGTCTAACTTTGATTATAACAGTAGTAAAGTGTGTGGAAAAAATTTGGGTCCTATCTGGGGCCAGTTGTCATGAGAATTGTTTAGTCAAACGCACAACGGAACATCCAGGTTTTTAGATTTTTGCAAAAGGTGAATAGGGAGGATGCTAGTCTGATCTTCCTGGGGAGGGAGTTCCAGAGCTGGGGAGCAACAACTGAGAAGGCACTCTCTCTCGTCCCCACCAACCACATCTGTGACAGAGGTGGAAGCGAGAGAAAGGCCTTCCCAGAAGATCTTAGGGATCGTGTGGGTTCATAAGGTCTCGAAGATAGGCAGGTCCTTTAAGCAAGGAGAAACAAAAAGGCAAGATAAATTCAAGGCAAGAGAATAACTAAGAAGACAGTGGGGCCATTGTTCGGTAAGGATGGCAAAATGCGAACACTTCAATGAATAGCCGGAGAGACAAGGGATCTGGATTGCAAATCGAGACTGATAGAGAGTTAATTAGGAATAATTATAACCAACCTAATTCAAATCTGCAGGACCAGATTAATTGCATCCCAGACTATTGAAGGAACTTGTTATTGTACTTACTAAACATCTTGTCAGCATTTCTGAGAAATTTTGGAGAACAAGTGGTGTACTAGAGGACTGGGAAAGGGGAAATATTGTCCATCCCTCAAAATTATTCAACTAGGTGAAAAGAAAATTGTGGGAGTGACATAACTTCACTCTTTAAAGTCCTCAAGGTTATTTAACAAGAGCAGGGTGCAGGCATGTTCTCTGCTTCCTCAGAGGATCAGATGAGGTCTAATGGTTTGAAGTTACAGGAGATGAGATTTCAGCTGAACATTAGAAGGAACTTGACAGTAAGAACAGTTCAGCAATGGAATCAATTGCCTAGAGATGTAGTGGGATCTTTTTCCAGAGGCCTTCAAATAAGAGACTGGTTGAGCAGTGGATTGGAGCTCATGACCTATAAGGTCCCTTCCAACTCTTTGACTTAGTGTT